TGTGTTATCGTTGCACCAAGTTTCGATTTTTTTTGATCGACTTTGAAGAGTTACTTAAGTCACCCACCTCAACAACAAAAAGTTCCCAGCCGTAGGAATCTCGTTGCCGCTCGATGAATCGCAACACCCGTCAATGCCGTCGAGGATGACGAGTTTGTTCATTTGGCCATGGTATTTGGCTAACGCATTTCCAAGGCTCTGGTCCCTTCACTAGTACGTTTTCACAATAAAAACGCTGACTTTCTCTACCGAGTAGGAGGTATGTTCAATGGAAATGCTTCAGTAATACCGCATGAGGGAGTCAAGAATGCTGTGATGGTATTGAACAATAACCATCCTACTCCACGCAGTCAAACGCCCTGCTATTGCACGCCGCATCAGTTATTTCGCAGTCACATTTCTTCTCAAGAGATAAAAGGTAGCTGATGGGTTGATTGTTCTGCGAGCGAAAAATTCACGTTCAGAGATTGACACTTTGTTGACTTTCTAAAGTCATTCTAACGACTGACCTGGTAATCAGAGTCGAGACTGAATAGACGCCGACTCTCATTGATGCATTTATTGCAGCCAAAACTTTCTTTTAAGTAATTTTAGAGCCTCCATGGTTGTTTATCAGTGAGAATTATTGAACGTACTACGATCAGTCGGTTAAACCAATTAAGCCAATCCATGCGTCTCTCAAGGTTTGGCCTCAATCGAGGTGAGCATGCCCTGGTAGACTGATCAACGCGCAGTCGTGAGACTCTCAGTTTCGCTGAGTCTGTTTGCTCATGATGCGACCCGCATTAAGGGGGGACTCGTATAAGTTTCGCTACGCCAGTTCCCCCTCATGAGTCATTCACTGTTACGAATGAATGAACGAGAGTTGCTTTTTGAATCACTATTTGACTACAAGAAAAGTGATGCAGACTACCATTCAGAGCCCACATTCCTAAAAGAAATGCTATTCGGAGATGGTTTGAGAACAATGTGCCGTTTTGCTGTTTACCAGTGTCTTCTATTCAGAACGATATTCTTCTCGACAATCGTGTATTCTTCGATGGCATCGAGTGCTGCGGTAGGAGAGGAAGCGATTAACTTCAATCGCGATGTCCGTCCGATTCTTTCCGACCATTGTTTTGCCTGTCATGGATTTGATGAGAAAACTCGCGAGGCCAGCCTGCGGCTTGATGTCGCTGAAGGGGCGTATGCCGACCTTGGTGGTTACCATGCTGTTGTTGCTGGAAAGCCCGATGAAAGTGAATTGTGGAAACGGGTCATCGCAGCTGATCCAGATGAAATGATGCCACCTGCCGATTTTGGCAAACCCCTTTCAAATGAACAGAAGGCCATCCTCAAACGCTGGATCGAACAGGGAGCTGAGTATCAACAGCACTGGTCATTCATCGCACCGCATAAACCCCAAGTTCCAGATGTCGTAGGAGTAACAAATCCCATCGATGCATTTCTGCAAAAGCGGCTTCAAGCAGAAGGGCTCGTAGCTGCTCATCAGGCAGAAAAAACGACTCTGATTCGTCGGGTGACACTCGACTTGACAGGACTCCCCCCAACGATTGCAGAAGTCGATGCGTTCCTTGGGGACGAATCACCAGATGCTTACGAGAAACTTGTAGAACGGCTCCAGAATCGTGTGACCTATGGTGAGCATATGGCTCGCTCCTGGCTCGATCTGGCTCGTTATGCCGACACACATGGGTTGCACCTCGACAACGAACGCTCGATGTGGCCTTACCGCGACTGGGTCGTGCAGGCAATCAATGACAACCTGCCGTTTGATGAATTTACACGTTGGCAGTTGGCTGGTGACTTACTGCCAGACCCGACTCGTGAGCAACTCATTGCCTCCGGGTTCAATAGGTGTAACGTCACCACCAGCGAAGGGGGCAGCATCGCAGAGGAATGGATTTACCGTTATGCCGTTGATCGCACGACGACAGCGATTGAAGTCTGGATGGGACTGACTGGTGGTTGTGCGGTCTGTCACGACCACAAATTTGACCCATTGTCAGCACGCGACTATTACTCGATGTATGCCTTCTTCCACAGTGCTGCCGACCCGGCGATGGATGGAAACCAGATTGATACTCCACCGATTTTGAAGCTGACGCGACCTGAAGACGAATTGCAGTTGAAGGAACTGGATCAGAAGATCGCTGAAGTCGAAAACCGCATTACAGAACTCGTGGAGGCTTACGAATATACAGATCCAGTGACACAGTCTCCGCAGCCGACCGAACGGATCGTTGAATCGGTCTGGTTTGAGGATCAATTTCCTGCCGGTTCCAACCCTGAAGCAACAGGAGCACCACTCCAGATCGTTTCAAAACCAGATGGCAATGTCTTCAGTGGCAAGAGTGCGATATCTCGTTCTGCTCCGAATGCAATTGGTCAGGACTTTTTCCAGGGAGGAGCAGAATTTACGGTTCCTAAGAATTCACAAATTTTCGCTTGGTGTTTCCTCGATCCCGATGATCCGCCCCAGACGATCATGCTCCAGTTCCACGTTGATGGATGGAATCGTCGGGCCGTTTGGGGAAATGCAGATCTCATTCCGTGGGGCAAACCGGAGACTGCTGAGAAGTTCTACATGGGTGAGTTGCCCGCAGTCGGAGAATGGGCCCGCCTGCAACTTGACCCTGCAAAGCTGAATCTGAAACCAGGAACGAAGATCGGCGGCTATGCCTTCACACAGTATGGAGGAACTGTGAACTGGGATCGCCTCGGTGTGACCGCAACAGTCAATCCGACAACTGATCCTGCCTGGTCCTTTACTGTCTGGAAAGAGCAGAATCAGGGAAAACGGAACAACGCCCTTCCCGAAGGTCTCAGACAGCTTGTTAGAGGGAAGAAAGCCGAACAGTGGACAGAGCAGGAAGCTGACCAGGTTTTTCACTTCTGGTTGAGAACGTTTTTTGACGGTCTGCGCGAAGAAATCGTATTGCTGGAGGACGAAAAGGCACCGTTCGATAAAGAAAAGAGCGACATCGAAAAAGCGGCACCAATCACGATGATCATGGCTGACCTTCCCCAACCTCGCAAAAGCTTCGTCATGTTACGTGGAGCCTATGATCGACCAGGTGAACAAGTGACTCGGGGAGTTCCAGGTTTTCTTCCCCCTCTGCCAGAGAAGCCAACTGATCGGGATTACAACCGTCTCGATCTTGCGAATTGGCTCGTCAGCCGTAATCACCCCCTGACAGCACGCGTCACTGTCAATCGTCTCTGGCAGCAGTTTTTCGGCACCGGACTGGTGAAGACCAGTTGGGACTTCGGGTCTCAAGGCGATCCACCCAGCCATCCAGAATTGCTGGACTGGCTCGCTGTCCAACTGATCGATGATGGCTGGGACATGAAGAAATTCATCCGACGGATTGTCACCAGCCATGCTTACCGGCAAAGTTCTTATGTCGCTCCAGATCTACTCGAAAGAGACCCCGCAAACCGACTCTTGGCTCGCGGACCGCGACATCGTCTCGATGCAGAA